CACTGCACCCCTCTCACTGGCTGCATGGACTAAGGAGCAACTGTGTGGCTAAAGCCTGTCCTGCACTGAGTCTTGTGCCCTGGTGCCAACACAATTCCTGCTTTGCCCTGAGCTCTGAACCTGGGAAAAGCGGAGCCTTTACAGGGCCCAGTGTGGACAGTGTGGGACGCTGAGGCCACGTGGGGCCTGGGAGCCCCATGAGGACCTGGCCATGAGGAGGTAAGGCCCTTGGAGCTGCTGTGGGATCTCAGATTCCACCTCACAATTTCCCCAGGAATGCAAATACAGTGCCACCTCTACCCTGTCACAGCAATGGGGACAGCCCCGCACAACACAGGCTACACAAGTGATATACACATGCAGGTGGCAGTGAGGACCAGAGAGAAGTGGGGTAAGGCAAAGTATGTGCTTGCTCCCCTGAGTCTCCAGTCTCAGGAAAGTAAGAGTTGGGACCCCAAGTCAAAGGAGAGGGGAACCTGCGTGGGGTTCTAGGGAGAGGGGCAGAAAGGAGATGATAAGTGAGTATTTGCTCCTAGAGACAGATACGAGGAATGAGATGGGTCCTGCAGGGACAAGGAGCAAAGACAGTGGAGGACAGGTCCTGGGGGTGCAGAGCCAGTGGGAAGCTGCACTGATAGTGGCAACCAGCAAGGCCAGGCAGACTTGCAGCACGCTTGGAGGCTGGGCCGGCCGGGCAGCAGCCACCATTCTCGCATTAACCTGACTGACTGTGTCACTGGCCAGGTCTTGAGTGGTGAGAGCAGAAGCCCTCAATCTCAAGCGCTTTGTGTCACCTGTACCCGCTCTACATGCTGACCACTCTGGCCTGCTCACCCCCTTGGCCTCACCCTCCCAGGCATTCAGGGTGCCCTGGACGCACCTGGGCCCCTCTCTCCCAGCCTGTGTCCTCCTGTGCTTTCCACACCTGTGGCCTGAACTGAACAGAAAATCCTTCACTGGTTCCTCCTGTTGGTTGATCTCCCTCCCTTGTTCTCTGTTTGTTTGTTTGTTTTTAGACTTATATTCATATCCACAAATAAAAAGAAAACCAATATGTAATGAAAAAGAACTGGAAATGTTAGCGCAGAGGACTCGCAGAACCGACACACTCGGGACCACACTCTCCTTAATCATTAACAGGCAAGCGAACGCCTTATGGAGTCACAGACATAACCACACAGGACCAATTGATTCTTCTGTTTGTTGGTAGGATTTCACTCCAAGTGCGCAAGAGCCCAGAGCTTCCGCCAAGCTCTCGGTTACACAACTGGAACCCTTGATGCACAACAGGAAAAGCTTAGGCTGGTGTAACCATAATATTCTTGAAAGGCTTTAAAAGCCTCAAAAAGGTGATCATTTGATTCAGAAACCTACAAACCTCTTGTAATTTTCTGCTATTTATGGTACTCACTGACATCCTATTTTCTTCTCAAATGAATAATGTGGTAGTCATAAGAGCAGACAGGCTCAGGCATGCCCTTCTGCCTCTTTCCTGGCCTGTGGCAGCATGGGTCTCCCTAGGAGGACCCCCTCCTGCCCTCCTGCCCTGGAGCCTGCAGCCCTACTAGGGCTTCCTGGTCCTTGGTGTCTGATTACATGTAATTCTGTCCGTTGCAAATGGGTTTTGTGATTTTGCTCCAAAAGGAGGAAAATGTACTGTTGCACTCACTCATACAGGGTTTTTTTTTGTGGAAATGGATCTTTACACAGGTAAATTCCATCGTGCAGCCTTCCCTCCGGAAACCTCTCCTTTCCCCACAAGCACATTCAAGCTGCTTCAGGATGCATGGCCCACCTGGACATTCACTCCCTACATTTCTAGGACACAGTGATGCTCCATCACCTATAACTGCTGCTGGGGTAGGGTGGGGGCTGGCTCCAGGGAGACACATTTCCAGGTCAGTCCTTTCCCATCCTTGGGACCCAACACTCAACACCCACAATCTACAGAAGCAGGGGTGTAATTTGGCTCATGGTTTCAGGGGATTCAGTGAAATGCACATTTGTTAATTAGAACAATTCAGAGAATCTAGCCTCTTGCAAGCAGTTGTAAAGCACATACGGGTCTCTGTGGCAACTTTTACCTGCTCGGTCTTTGAATATTTTTGAAATGACAACAGGAACGCAGTGCTCAGCGCCTCCCTGGAAGACAAAAACGGCAGAAAAAAAAAACAATGAACCTGACTTGCGCTGCCCACTGTGGAAAAGGAGGTGCAGAAAAGGGAAAAACGTTCCCTACCTTTATGCTGAGGCCCAGGCCCCCCACAGGCTGTCTGCGCAGTGTAACAGTTCTGTGCTTTAAAAAATTTTAGAAAGTAAAAGAAGTTTAGGTTACAATGCATGGTCAGAAAGCGAACACAAACTGGACATGGAAACCTCTTCTTTTAAGCAGTTCTTAATGCATCTTGCCAACAGCCTTGGCCCTTCTCTCAGTTACTTTTTACTCATTGCTGGGACAAAGTACCTGATGCCCAAAATTAAGTTCAGTCTATACTCAGCTGGCTCCCAGGCAGTGTGACACATGGCAGAGAGCAGCCATTCATGGCAGCAGAGAACAGCAAAGAGCAAAGGGGAGGGCAGCAGCTGCGGCTTCTAGCCAGCCTCTTTCCCCTCCTTACATTAGAGACAATCTACCTAGGGGCCAGGGGTGTAGAACTCACACAATGTCCATGCCCTCCTCTGGTTCAGGATGAGGCGTTTACAACCAAGAATCCTGGCTCTCTACTGAGTCACTTAATTAAACTTGTAAACTTCTCAAGTTGACACAATGTATCAAGCAGTACAGCCCTATTCCTGATCTTCAGACCAGGGTGTGGAACATAGAGAAACTAAGGTGGAAGAAATGCATCTCTGTCTTGTGCATTACTGGAAATCCACACAAAGTCCCACAGAGCGGGCGTCTCTCCCTCCTCTCATGGCCAGCAAGGATGGAGCTCCTCGAGGGAAATGACCAAGCTTCACTTTCCAAAATTGTAAAGTTTGAAGCCACAAGTTGCACTCAGCTCTGTTTTATGGTTTCTCTTATTGGGGAAACGTAAAACAGAAATAAATACAAGAGTTAAATACAAGGGCTCAGTAGAATGAGTGCTTCCCTGGCAAGCGCAAGGGCCTGAGTTTGATCCCTGGTTTCGCAAAAAAAAAAAAAAAAAAAAGTTAAATGCAGAAGATGGTGCATGGTGACACCTTAGGCAGGCACCCAAACTTCTGTGACTTCCACCTGAAATCATTCACGCTATGGCCGGCGTATGTCCACCTCCCTCCAGCCAAACTGGAGCCCATCCTTTTATTTCATGATTTCCACTGTGCTGGGAAGAGTTCCTGAGGCAGAGATGAATGAGATAAAAGGTATCTCTGGTTCAACCCAGAAGACCCAGTCACAACTGGTGCCGCCTTCAGAGCCAGAGGCTGTGAGCTCCAGAGCTGGATGCAGGACTGGCAGAGCCCAGCTTTGACCAGGGCCCCAGACATGCTATCTCGGTGCTTCCCTGCATACATGGCCTTGGTTACTGTACACATCCAGGGCCTCAGCAGCCCATCAGAGGAGAGAACAGGGCCCGCCCAACACCATGCAGGACAAACTGGAGAACAGAGGTCGGAACCCAAGCTCATTGTCCAGTGAGTTTTTTCTAAATTCGACCCAGCTCTTTGTGTTTGCAAACAAATGAGACAAAGCCTTTATGAAAACATGCATCCTCTACAATGAATAAGCACTAAGACAATAATATGCAATGTATTAATTATTGAAACTGTGCTAGTAAACTGTTTTGAAACTGTCTCTATTTGTTTCTCAATAAAGTTATTAAAAAAAAAAAAAAAGAAAACGTTCTGCATCTCAGCACTTAATCCAAAGCTGTGTTCTGACGCCTCCTCTACGCTGTGTCGTGGTAGCCTCATGACTGTGGTTGGGCCCAGCTAGCTCCACATGAGCTGCTGGATGTCAATACTTCGAGATGGGGCTGCTGCTTTCTGCAACATGAGTGGTTCTTACCTGTGTACAACTTCGGAGCTCGGCGGCTACACTTCTCATCCCACTCCTCTACCACACTGCCCTTCAGTGACTGGGGTTCTTCGCATCTCACTCCTCACCTCTGAACTCATCGTGAAACTGAAATTTGTTACAGCTTCCAGATTCAGATCCTGAACTTTTCAGGACAGGTTTCAGTCAGCTCAAGTGAAGCCTACCATTGTGACATGAGGTCGCCAGGCCGCTGTCCCCAGCCAGGTCCATTCCTGTCACAAGGACAGCTAGGAGTGTCTGTGCTTCTCCTCCCCAGTCCCAGCTCTTCTTCTCATAGCAGAGAAACAAATAGCAGAGACAGTTTCAAAACTGATTACTTCAGCTCTTCTGAGCCAGGCCCCCTAGTGGTGAGACGAAGGGACAGACCGGCAAGCCGATAAAGGACAGAGAAAGGGGCCTTCCTGTTTGTTTCTTTCATGACATATGTGAATACTAGAAAGAGAAACTTTAGAATTTAAACATTTAGAGAAGGAATTTTCTGACATATTTTGTTTATCACACACAAAATACTTCAGAAGCATTCTCCAGGCTTTATTTGAGAACTGGTAGTATTTTAGTAGGCTTCAAAGCTAGGAGCAAGTGTTGGGTGACGGAGTCTGAGTAGCTTTGCCCCCCTAGAATAAGGGATCCATTTCCATTAGAAACACTCTCTGCAGTTTCTACAAGAAAGAAGGCACTTGCTGGGGAGATAGCTCAATAGAATAAGTGCTTGCCTGGCAAGCACAGGGTCCTGAGTTCAATCCCCAGTACCACAAAAAAAAAAAAAAAGAATTCACTGCAACATTTTCTACTTCCTAAAATAATTCAATCAAGCATAACCCCTTACATATGAAGATTTTGGATTTATCATTTGAAATAAAGAAGTGGCTCTCCGTCAGACTGGAGCGCATATTTGCTCAGCCTGGATAGCGAGTCAAATCTGCAGGAGAAAAATTTAAAGATCAGTACCTCAATGTTCGTAAGAACTCCTTAAATTAAAAAATATATATATATATAAAACATTCCTACTATATCCCCGCTTCCTGAGAAGCTGGACCTTATCTTCTGGCCAAAGCCCTATGCACTATGGTCTTTCCAGGTCTGACCGTGGCTAACACCTAGAAGGTGTCCTGTCCTACCTGGGAGGTGTCCCACTGCAATAACTAGTCACTGAAATAGTTTCAGTACACTTGCAGCACATAATGATTCTGCTCACCACAAGGAGCTGCACATGCGCGTAGCACAGCCTCTCTTTTCCCTCCCCTGCACCTCCCACCTCTCCCTGCTCCCTCTAACTCCTGATGCTCTTCACACTTGAAAATGCTCTATTTTTATTTTTTAATTTATTCTCTTTTTTGGATTAATCATTTTTAAGAAAATAAAAAATAGTAAAAATATGAAAGAAAAAACGTTAGAAACAATACACAATTTCACTAAACAAAATGATAGGAACTCAACAGTGGTTGTTGGACTGTATCTTACTGTCTTCAAATTAGTTGTTCAGTTTACCACACGAATATGCAAAATTGGTCAAAAAATCAAAAAAAAAAAAAAAAAATTAAACAATAAACGGTTCTTTCAATAGACCAGTAGCAATCAGCAGTACAATTATCCAAGCTAGCCTGTGTATATGCACATATTTTCCCCTTTCTTCTTTCCTTCCTTCCTTCCCTCCTTCCTTCTTTTCTCCTTTCCCTCATCTCATCTTTCCTTCCCTTTGAATAGTTTCTCTCCCTTTCACAGCATCTATTGTACCTTTTGGATTTTACTTACTCTTTCAGGTTCTCACACTAGGGAGACAATACGATGTGTAAGTATCATTCTCTTTTATAAAATCATTTTTCCTTTAGTTCCCTTCCAATTCCATCTCTTGTTCCTGTGCTATTATCTGAGGTTTTTTACAGTTCAAAAAATAACTCTCTAGGAAGCAGAGTAGTTTATAGACAGCTACAAAAGCACCCTTGATATCTTTCTGCCATGTCACCTTTCTTTGGGATTTAGGACAAGGGGAGGGATAAGAAGTCACACCTATAGTTGGGGATCGGATCTCACAGCATGGGACAGGAAGTTGGAAGGCTGGTGAGGTGCAACTGGACCCCCAAGAATCATGTGGCAAGATGGGAAGTGACTGGACATGGCACGAGAAGAGGGGACCCCCCCCCCGGCCTTCTAGAGCTTCAGAGGAACCCAGACTGCACAAGGCTGGGTGTGGAGGGTAGAACAGACTGGATCACAGCACAGGACCGTGTCTCTAGGGAGTCACCAAGGGACCTTCCTAAGAGAGAGTGCACTGTGTGCACCTCAACCTTGGGGCTCCAGGGTGCTCCACTCTTCTCACCAAGGCCAAGGACAACAGGATTCAGGAATACAGTGAGTCCAGGTCTCCAGAAAAAAGCCCCCCATGGAACCAGAGTTGGGCTCAGAACTGGAAGGAATGGTTCCACAAACACCTTGAAATGGATTTCCTTTCAACTGCATTGTTTCCTGTGTGTCACTTTTGTACCTAACAGGTTTGGTTACAGAAAGGAGCTCTGAGAGACGCCAGTCACAGTGGACACATGCAGCTGCTGGGAGGGATGCCAGGGAGCTGGCCGACGGCTGTGGATTTCCCATGGGATGACAGACTTGGGGCGGGCCCGTTTGAGTTAAACTCTGAAAGGAAAACTGCCAAAATATCTTCCCTACTGTTTATCAATGCTCTATGGAGCTAATAAATACATATCTCACCCTGCAGGAAATGTCATCCGTGAGTGAGAAGTGCAATTTGAGTCAAGAAGGAGCATGTTGCAGCACAACAACCCACACGCACATCCACAGATGCACAGTGGAGCCAGGCCACCCACACCGAAGGCAGCAGCCCCGGCGTCTCCGGGGCTTATCCACAGATGGAAAAAACCAACCAGTTACTACTTCATCGTAATTTCTCTTTGTAATGAAAGTCTCGTTTCACAGTGTTCTACTGAGACCTGTTTTCTTTGTAAGTAATGCTCTTCACAGGACATGGATCAGCAAAGAGATTACGACAGTCAGAGAGTCTATGGGCCAACTTAAAGTGCATACTGCACGTAATGACAAGATCGAAGCCCACAGTCGGGGCTACATGTAACCATCATGCATGGCTGCTCACGAGAAAGCAGGCTTTTTTTTTTTTTTTTTTTTTTTTTTTTCCATTTTCCAATCAGTGCTAAAGACTGCATTCAGGACCTTGTACTGAGCTACATACAGCCCTAAGTTCTTTTCTAGTGTTTTAATTTTGAAACAGGGTTTCCCTAAGTTTCCCAGCCTAGGCCAAATAATCTTGCAGGTGCGGATTAAAGTACCTGCAAGCAGGCGCAGAGGCCAGGGTTTTGATCCCTGGGCCTGCCATTCAGGCCCCGTCCCCAGGACACGCTGAGAGGGCAATTGAGCTTGGGTGTGGTGGCACACACCTGTAATCCCAGCTTTTGGGAGGCTGTAAATAGGCGGACCACTATGAGTCTGATCTAGTAGTGAGACCCTGAACACCTTATAGACCCTGCCCTAAAGTACCAAAAAAAAAAAAAAAAAAAAAATAGTTTCCCAGGCTAGACTTGAACTTGCAATCTTCCTGCCTCAGCCTCCCAGCAGGTTGGGATTATAGGCATGCAACACCAAGCCAGACCTCCAGCAAACATTCATGAAGAATGTGTAGAAGCCTCAGGACCTTGGAACATGACCCCATTCACCAAAGCACTTACATTGGCACCCGGATGGGCTCCACCCACGCAGACCACGTCCTGCTGCTGAATGGTCAGTGCCTCCTTTGTCAGCCTCAGCCGGACGTCATAGGCATTCTCAGAGGCCTCATCGTACAACAGGGCGAGGGCAGTTTTGTTCTGTGGAAATAGGAGCAAAGTGCTGTGAAGGCAGCAGAGCTGGGGACGGGGATCCCAGGCCCTCGGTGCAGCCACACGCCAGCAGCGGGCTGCATCTGCCACGTAGGAATCACGTTCTTCATACAGAGCTCCCAGACACTCTGGGGCCCTGGCCAGGTGTCCTCAGATGCTAACCTGGTGCTGGCCACACCCTGATGAAAAGCGAACCCAGGCTAGACTCTCCTTGGGCAGCCTCTCTGTCCCCTGCAGGACAGCTGAAAGCCCTCAGGACCTGATGCAGGACACGGGGACTTAGAGCAGCCTTGGAGAAGTCAAGACACAGCCAGGAGCCATAGCAGGGGACATGAGGGTCCCTCAGCAAGGACACTGCAGGGACTTCCTTCTGAGGCCACTGCCTATGGAAGGAAGACTCAGGCTACACCTCTGCTTGGCCGAGCATGCGTTTGGTTGACATCAGAAGGTATGCCATGGAGCCTGTGTACCACACACTCTTAAAATGTTTACAGCAACTTCTATCAAATAAAAATGACACTGGGTCCTCATCCACCTTACCTACCAGGTCTGGCACCATGTGACCTCTGGCGCAGCCCCAAAATCAAAGGGACCATGAAAGGGATATGTTTTGAATCCATTCAGAATATTGGGGCAGCCAGGACAGCACAGCTAAAGACACTAAGGAAAGAAGACTACCAAACACTTTCACTGGAAGCACGGTAGCCTTTTTAATAAATGGTGCTGGAAGAACTGGCTTTCCACCCGCCTAAAACCAAAACTGGACCCTTGTCTCTTACTGTACACTAAACTACTTTGAGGTCAGCAAGATAGCTCAGTGGACTAAAGCACCTGCTTAGGCAAGCTTAGGCGAAGCACGGGGACCATGGTTCAATCCCCGGTGCCACATGCAGCACCAGCCACACTCCCAGGGCGGGCTGAGCTGGCCACAAAAATAAATAAATAATAAACTAAATTGAAATGGATCAAAGACTACAATAATGAGGCAGGACCAACCCCAGCCAGTGGTCAGGACCTGCGCCCTGCAGGAATTTTCCGCCTCCAGCCAGTGGTCAGGCCTGGTGTGGAATCCAGCAGTGGAACTCCTGAAAGAGTGGCCAGGAGCAAGATCCAGCCAGCTAATCCAGGAACAGAACAGCTCACCAGTGAAGCATAGCAGAGTTACTACTTCCCCAGGCGGCAACAAGAAGCCAAGCACAGACCAAAGCCAGGCCCAGCTGAACGCGGTCAAACTTGGTAGATCTGGATCTGGATATCTCTCTCTCTCTCTCTCTCTCTCTCTCTCTCTCTCTCTCTCTCTCTCTTTCTCTCTCTCTCAACCAAGAAAGGAGGTAACAGGTAACCAGGGTGAAAGTCTGCCTGGAAGTCTCTGGGTACATCAAGGGTAGGTTTCTCAGGGAAACTAATTTAAATACAAATTTCCAATTTTATATCTGCTTAGCTATATAGTCATGATACTGGCCCTTAGGGCCTAAAATACAAACCTATCAATTACAAAAGTTTGTCAAGTGCTAAATATTACCACCCATTATTAGAGATACTAATTGTAATACTGTAAATACAAAACTACAACTGGCTTAACCACATAATCTCCCTTCAGTAATAATACCACTAGGAGCTATGGTAACTACCATGCCAAAGCTCCACACCAAAGATCAAAGGATAGTGCTCTACAAAATGACAAAGAGAAGGAGCAAAATGCAGTCTCAGGCCACAAGGCCACCCAGACCAAATGCAGGAGACACTAGCATTGAAGGAATTGAAAGCCACACTCCTGAAATCTCAGAAATAATAGTGTCTGAAGTAAAGACAACTGCAGAAAGCTATAGAGGATATCAGATCAGAAAAAAAAATGATAACTATAATGAAAGAATTACTAAGTGCTTCTAAAGTAGACACTAATAAAAAAAATAGAGGAGAATAGAAAAATGATGGAATCCTTGAATGAACAATTTAAGAAAGAAATGGAATGCATGAAACAGATTCAAAGAGATATACAGGAAATTAAAAGCCTCAATTACAAGCTGGCAAAGCTGTTTGAATGAAGGTGAAGATAGAGTTTCAGATCTTGAAGACACCATTGCAGCTAGTGAAAAGGTAAGAAAAGATCTCTTAAGAACAACTAGGATGCAGGAAAAAATAATTCAACATCTGCAAGACGACACAAAGATGTGCAACATAAGACTAATAGGTATCAATGAGAAAGAAGGAGTCAATGCAAATGATATAAAAAATGGCCAGAAGTAAGAAAGAATAGAATATATATATATATATATATATATATATATGCAAAATAGTTAGCATAAATATACAGCTATTTTCTTTTAGCTCAATGAGAAGAAAGTTTTGAACTAATAGTATTTAGATAGAATATCATGTCTGCATTTGTACTAAGAATAACTACTACAAAGAAAATCATATGGAATGTATTAATTATTGTAACTGTCCTACTAACCTGTTTTGAAACTCACATTGCTACTTCTTTCTGAATAAAACTATTTTTTAAAAACAAAAACTTCCCAAAGATGGGGAAACAATCTGACATTCAAGTCACGAAAGCATATAGAACTCCAAATAACATCAACCCAATTAAGAATGCACCCAGACATACAATAATCAAGATCCCAGAAATCCAGCATAAGAACAATATACTAAAAGCTGCTAGAGAAAAGAAAAAGATCACACCAGAATAATGGCAGACTTCTCTTCACAAACCATCAAATCAAGAAGAGCATGGAGCAAAGTACTTCAAGTCCTCTGTGAAAACAAATTCCAGCCCAGATTGCTATACCCTGCAAAAACCTCTTTCAAGTTTAATGGAGAAGTGAAATACGTCCATGACAAAGAACAGCTAAAGAATTTCATGATGACAAAGCCAACCCTACACAGACTACAACAACATAGTCTCGTGGGGGACCAAAATGACCAGAACTCCACAAATGAAAATGGAAAGAACCCACCAAACAGTGCAAACAATTAAACACAGGAGAAAAAGTGATATACAATAGCAGGTAAATAACATGTAAATCACAAGTCAATACATATCAATTATAATAATCAATGTAAATGGACTCAATTCACCAATTAAAAGAAATAGACTGGCACAGTGGATTAGGAAGCAAAATCCTACACATGGAACATTCTTTAAAATAGATCACATACTAGTCCATAGGTCATGCTTAAGTATATGCAAGAAAACAGAAATTATCCCATGCATATTATCTGACCACACTGCAAATAAACTGGAAACAAATGACAAAAGAAACCACAAAAACCCCATAAATAATTGAACAACACCCTACTCAGCAACCAATGAGTTACAGATGAAATTAAACAAGAAATTAAAAAATATCTACAAGTCAATGAAAACTCAAGCACAACTTATCAAAATTTATGGGATACAATGAAAGCAGTTCTTAGAGGGAAATTCAGAGCTGTGAACTCACACATTAGGAAAACAGAACAGGAACAAATAAATACCCTAGTGCTGCACCTCAAACATCTAAAAAAGAAGAGCAAACCAAAGCTAAAGCCCAAAGACAGGAGGAAATTATAAAGACTAGAGAAGAAATTAATGCAATTGGGACCAAAAAAAAAAATTAACAAATAAAAATGTGGTTCTTTGAAAGATTAAATAAAATTGAAATGCACCTAGCTAACCTCATCAAAAAGAGGAAAGAAAAAACTCAAATTCAAGCAATAAGGA